AAAGGTGGTATACTTGGTTAAGGTAGTGTAGATAAATCCCTCTTCTACTATCATCTTTATTGTTACTTATTATTGAAGAGTTAATGCATGTCTCTTTTAATGAATCATATCCTAGAAATGTCGAGAAAGGTATTACTTTTCCTAATGCAGATGTATCTTCAAAAGACATACTCATGACACCAAAGAAGGAATTGATCAGCCTGAATTGGTGAAATCTGAGGAGAAAGAGGAGGAGGAGGAGGAGGAGGAGGAGGAGGAGGAGGAGGAAGATGATCCTGAAAATGAGGAAAATGAAAGTCCAAAATTAAAGTGGGCGATCTTCTGATATCAATCGACTATTCTTGGAGACCATCAAACGTGACTACTCACTCTAAGATAACTCAAAGAAATGATGTTTATGTGTCTTTTGACACTCCAATTCCTATAAATGGAAACTTAGTCAAAGATGAAAGTGGTGAGAACATTAATGTCTAAATGTTTAAATTTAAAATTTACAGTTGTTTCAACATTCGTTCGAAAGTTCCTTATTCTGTGAGTGCTTACTCTGTCTTTAGTCCGATGAGGTAATATCGTTTCACTTATCTCTTTGTTTCATAAGTTTTTATTTTCTGCATTTCTTATCTATGTCACTTGAAATTTGATTTAGTGTGATATATTTGATGTATTATAGAATCCCATGACTGTTCATTTCCAAAAATTCTATTAATTATCGATAAGTGTTTTCAATCCATATACTTATAGTGAAATCATGTTTTAATCATTTATAATTCATCATGATATGTATTCCATGATATAAATTCTGCATATTATAAGTATCTTTGAAGTTATTGTATTGAGCATGTTATTTATCTCTCTTACATATTTGTACATTGTTAGTTATTTAAGTTTAGGCATTTTCACTTCAATGTAATTCTATGTGAGTGCATGTTATGAACAATTTATCTTTGCACGCCTATGAGTGATATATATATATATATATATATATATATATATATATATATATATATATATATATATATATATATATATATATATATATGATTGTGTGTTTTACTTGATGCTTCTTGTGTTTTGTGGTCTTTTTTTTTTGATGTTGTCAAAGGGGGAGAAGTTATGCAGGAACAAAGAACATCATCTAGTTTTGCAAATATTAAAGGAGAGATACACATATTTAGGGGGATATATGATCAAAGACTACAAATATGTCATATGTTTTTTCATCATTAAAAATGGAGAGTATGTGAGTGCAATATCCTCTCTTAGATGTTTTGAATGATGTCAAAACTATGTAATATGTAGTATTTGTATATTGGACCTTATCTTTCTATGTCTAGGTTGCATTTTCATCTTAGGATAATTAGGAAACAAGTCAAAAGTTTTTGATCAAGTTAAAAGGTCAAAAATATAAATTTTCATGAAAATCATGCTTGGAGTCGACTCCCTTTGAAGCATAGTTGAAAATAAATGTTTCTGTCAAAATGGAGTCGACTCCCGGGACCTTAGAGTTAATACACAACATGAAGGATTCAAATCCCTCGAGCTGTCGGCCGACTCCCTCTAAAATATTTTTTGAAAATTAAATTTGTGTCCAGGATGGGTCGACTCCCGAACATTTCGAGTCGATACATAATCCGAAGGAGTCGACTCTCAAGTGTTATGCCTCATCTTCTACTGAAGCATATTTTCTCAATTTTTTTGTCCACTTGAAGTCGACTCCCAGGCAGTATGGATAGACTCCCTTGCCCTTGTGAGTCGACTTCCGCTGTTCAAAATGTCCAATTTTGTAATTTTGCAACCTTTTTTTCTTCTGTTTCATTCTTCACACACTCATATATATAACAATTACACATAATCATTTATATTGTGTGATCAAGAGATAGTTCGATACTGTCCAATTAGGATTTTGTGTAATCAATTGGATTGAAATTTATTTGGTGGTTTCAAGATAAATTCATTTGGGGTTTTCTTCCAAGATCAAAGATTGATTTGAGAGTTCTTAACAAGATTGCACAATTTAGATTCAGTTGAGTGAAAGCTTTGAAGAATGAAGGTTTCTAACAAAGGAGTAACGTTAACTAGATGATCACTTGGGTAATATTGGGTTACGATAAATTTGCATTTTGGATTCAGTCGAGCAAAGGCTTTGAAGAACGGGGCTTCTGTCAAAAGAGTAATGGTAACCGGAGGATCAAATTAAAAGTATCGAGTTACTTGATCGAGCTCTGATCAAGGGGAGAGAAGAAGATAGGATAAACATCAAACTTAGGGTTTGGAGAGTTGGATTGCTACTTTTTATTTTGTAAACTACATTTGCAATGGTTAATTTTCATTATCTCAATTTCATACGAAATTGGGGGCATATGTACCCATAGAGAGGCCGATTGAAGAACTGCCTAAACAAATCCTTGTCTCCCTCTCTCTATCTATCTATCTATATATCTATCTATCTATCTATCTATCTATCTCTCTTTGTCTCTCTCCCTGTCTCTCTTATTTACATTTACTTGCAAATTGTGAAATAATTAATTGTTCAATCGATACATAGAGATATTCTCTTTGTTTAATAATTCAAACTATTTTGTTGAGTTGGTTACAATCAATGTGATTGTAATTGTATTTACATATGAACAAAATTATTGAAAAATCTATTTTGAATCGATTGCACATCAAGTGTTCGACAAATTACTTAAATCAATTTTTGTTTGATATTTCATTAGAAATAGATTATTATTATGTGATTTAATTTAAACGAGGTTGTTGAAAATATTATGATTGTTTTTCTTATCTTACGTATTTGTACTATCAGTTAAACACATATTCGATCTTTTCGATAACAGTTTGGATAAACGATTATCGGTCTGTGTTTGTTTCCGCACACTATAGTTAAATATTTCTAAAACAATATTTTCAATAAGAAAATTTCATTTATGATCTATTCACCCCTCTAGATCATAGTCTATCATCTAACATAATTTCACCCTTTTACCCCTATGTGAGTCTTTATTTATGATGATGTGATTTTCTTAACTGGGTTGGATAATAGTCTTTTGTGCCCTATGTTGGTTTATTTCTTTCTTGATTTCTATTTGATTGCCTTTGATGGGCTGGATATTACTTTACCCCACTTTGTCTATATTTGGAAAATAGGGGAGATGAATGAATGCATGCACTTCATTTTATATTTTTATAAGAGAGTCTTTTTTCGTGAAGATATGTTCTTGTTAACATGTTTTTTTGTTTAGTTTTGCTGCATTATGATGTTGGTTAACTTGTCTTGAAGAAAGTCAGTGAGATTGTGTCTAATATCTTGCATGTTTTATTTACCTAAAAATTGGTCAAAAAGAGAGTTTGTTACATGTGATTGACAATATTTTATAGGCAACATGTGAAGCAAGATGTTCTGTCAAGTTGTGAGATATCATTGCATTTAAGTGATCAAGACACTTTAGTAGAAAACAACATGTTATGCATGATTTCCTTCGTTATATGAGACATCCTATCTCGCTCTAGGTTGCTTCGCGCACAAGACTGGTTGTAGTAATTCTCGTGCATGTTTGATTTATGTCTTTTATATACAATTAAAGATATAATTATGTTTGTGTGTTTTTGGATTAATGAAAGCTATAATCTAAATCAGATTTAGCATGATTGATTTTATATTTTCAAGAGATTCAAATTTACTTAAAATTTGATCAATTAAGATTTGTAATCAACCACTATTGAAGATCGAGCCCTTGTGCTTTTGAAGGTTAATCATTTTATAAGATCTAAATCCTACTGGACTGTGGAGTTGGACTTCTGTTTCTATTTAAGGAGTTGTTTCCCTTAGTGAAGACTCGGACCTTGCACTTCTAAGTTTGGCGTGTTTTTATTGTTCTTGAGTCTTGTGTTTGTTTTTGTGTAATACTCTATTAGTTGTAATTCTAATTTAGGAGAATGAAGTATTTGAATTGTAATATCGTTATGTCATTCATATATTTTTGTAACTGTCCAAATACTTGTGAGAGTGTTTGAGTGAAAGTGAGAGGAGTCTCAGATTTAAGAGGAGTTTGAATTTTAAGTTCACTGAAAGTGTTAGAAAAACATGCATTGCTTTAGGAGAGTCTAAATCAGACCAATTTATATTTCTGACTATTAAGAATCAATTTTTTTTCATTGAATTAACGTCCTCTAAAATATGTAATTTTACGTCGAACTAAATTACCAGTTTCTATGTTATTTATATTCTACCTTTTTTTTATTTTTTATTACACTATATTTGTCAAACACATTATTCCAATATTGTATTTGACATTTTATTATCCATAAAAAAGAATTTCATCTAAAAAAAACTACTCTAAATGTTCTTGATACATACACAATTTTGACACCGCATATTCATATACAAAATTAAAAACATGATGTATATGAACACTTCTCTCATATATTTAGCATTTTTTCTTCAACTTCTAATCACTTTGAAACTTATCTACTTATATTTAAATCCAACAAAAAGTAATAGAATATCGCATTTATTCATTATCATTGAAATGACTATTTCTTAGTAGTTTATTTCTTATAGAAACGATTGTTCCGACGAATGGTAGGATAATTGATTTTTGAAAATCTGTTCCTAAATCATAAACAAATTCAAGTTTTCAATAATATTAAGTATCTTTTTTCTTTTCTTTTACAAATAACTTAGTAGTTGGAATTCACTGTCTTTTTTATTTTTAAATTCCTTTATATTTCTATAGTCTTTATCATTAAAAAATTTAAGTTATACCAACATTTCAATTCAATACTTTTACTTCATTTAGTACAAAATTAATAGTAACAGTTATTTTCAAATATTATATTAGTAAGAAAAAGAACTGAAAGTTGTGAGGTGTGGAACGTGGTATATAGTGGGGCCCACTCCACTCTCATCCCTTCAAACAAACAGTTCTTTTATTAAAAAGCTGTTACTGATTCTCTCCCGCTACCCCCCTCTCTCTCCGTAACCGCTCCACTCAACATCAATGGCTAAGGTACTTCCTCTCTCTCTCTCTTCTCTCTCTCTCTCTCTCTCTCTCAAATCTCAGTTTCTACTTGCATTCATTCATTCATCCATGTCGCAGCAAAAGAACAAGACCAACGACCAAACCCAAAAACAAGAAAACAACGAAACCAAAAACAACAACAACAAGAAAGAAGATGAAACAAAGCCAACAACAGTCATTCTGAAAGTCGACATGCATTGCGACGGTTGCGCTTCCAAGATCGTCAAATGCATTCGCGGTTTCGAAGGTTTTTTTTTCTTCATCAACTGTTTCATCGCTTTTTTTTTTTTAATATTATATTATTTTATTTTATTTACTGGATTATTGTTTTTTTTTTTTTTTAATAAACTGAAGCGTTGAAATTGAACCTTCTTGTTGAAGGCTTTGAGAAAATGAATGTGGATAAAGAAACTGGAAAATTCACCATTAATGGTACCGTCGACGCTGCGAAACTCAGAGATAAGCTTGTTAGTAAGACCAAGAAGAAAGTTGATCTCATTTCTCCGGTTCTTAAAAATGACAAAGAAAACAAAGACAACAAAGACAACAAAAACAAACCACAAGACAAAAAACCTAAAGAGGTACTAATGTTATATTGGTTACATCGTTTAATTTATTGTTAAATTGTTAAATTTTATTTTAATTCATTAATTGATGGAAATGGAAATGGAAAATGGAATAGCTTCCGGTGTCGACGACGGTTTTGAAGATGGAACTGCATTGTCATGGATGTATTGAGAAGATTAAGAAAACTGTTTCAAAGACAAAAGGTGTTTATGCTGTTTTTTTTTTTAATGTGATTGTTGATTTTTTTTTTTTGTTTGTTGATGATTTTGTTTTTGGAATGGAATTGGAATGCAGGTGTTTATGATGTGAAAATAGATAAGGAGAAAGAGACAGTGACAGTGAAGGGAACTATGGATGTGAAAGTGATGGTGGAGAAGATGAAGAAGAAGTTTAAGAGGAAAGTTGAGGTGGTCCCGCAGAAGAAGGAGAATGAGAAAGAGAAAGAGAAGAATAAAGGAGAGAATGATGGAGGTAAGAAGAATAAGGGAAAAGGTGAAGGTGGAAATAGCAAGGTTGATGAGAATGATGGAAAGGGGAAAAAGGAGGTTATGGCGAATTCGAATGGATATGGATGTGGATTTTTGGGATTTGATTATGGTTATAATAATAATGGAGAAGGTGAAATGGTGCAGATGCATGCTCCTCAGATGTTTAGTGATGAAAATCCTAATGCTTGTTGTGTTATGTGATGAAACTTTGGGCGCAAGTAATGTTTTGTTTTGTTTTGTTTTTTAGGTTGGCAAAAAATCGGTTAACCAACAAATTTGGGACTGGTGTTATGCTTTATGTAGATGAGAAAATGACATATATGTCTCCACTTTGTTTGTGTTAGAAAGAAATTGCAAAGCTGCAAATACTTGTTTGTTGATATTTGTGTTCTCATGATTGGTCATTTGGCTCATTGCTACTGATTCTTGGTTGTCCTTTTTGGTTGGTTTTATGACTGACATTGACATGTGCAAACATTTTTGGTACTGGTATAGTATGTCTTCTGGATGATTTGCACACACTTTTGACAATGATGACTTGCTTGAAGGCATGATCAAGCACAGACAACATGGTAGCAGTGTCTTAAATCAGACCTACATATAATGGGAGGGGAGGGGAGGGGACCACACATGTAAAGTGTCAGAGAATATTTGCTCTGTTTGTTACCCTGCCAATCATTCTCTCTGCGGAAACAAAAGCAAATACTAGAATCCTTTACCATATTGTTTTTTTCTAAAAAGTCTGCAATGTACAAATAATTTTCGTAGTTGTCCTATTTTGAAACCAAATACTACATTTAAATTTGACTGTGGGTATTCTATTTATACGGTGAAAAAAATATTATTTTAAAAAAATATTATTTTTTATAAAAAATTATTTATTTTTAAAATTTATTTTATAATATAAATATATGATTGTGTCATTAATCAATTTCACAATTATATTAATCATAAAAATATGTCATTAACTAATTATTTTACTTATAATTTATTAACCACTTCCACTATTTCATTAATCAATGAAATATATAATATTAATCATGTTCTTATGCTAAATTATAAACGTATTAATTCATTTTTATATTTTATTAATCAGTTTTATTTTACTATTTAATATTAATTTTTTTATGTTTGAGAACTCATTAACCAAATTATAAACTGTATTAACCAAAGTCTGAACGGTATATATATTAATTTTTTTTATAATATATATTAACCAAATTTAAAACTGTATTAATCAAGTTTTAATATTTCATAAATAATTAAAAAAATAAAAATATATAAAAAAAATTAAAATAATAATAAAATGTTGTTCACGTATTTGTGAACTGTGTATTAGATATAGATGTAAGTTTTTTATGTCTTGTCTAATGATCAGAATTTTACTATTGTATATAAAAAGTAATTGAGATATTATAAATTCGTATATTTTTAAATTTTAATGTTTCTATATAATTGTTATTTCTCTATTATTTGAATTTGCATTATGTTTGGTAAAATTAATATAGCAACAATAAGTTAAATAAGATTTGTAACATGTAGGAGAAAGCAGGTTGAAGTTCTATTTGATGAAGAAACATGTTGAGATGAGATGTCTCATCATCTGGACCAACATGTCGAAAAAGATGTCCTATGCAGATTAATTAGAAAGATTCAAGTCAGAATCAGGAAGAATATTAACTTTCTAATTATGGAGATTAATTAGGAAGATTTAGTTGAAGACCTATTTTGTATAAAATCCTTTTTCAGATTTGTAACAACATATTTGCTGTGATTAGAAGCCTAATTTCAGTTGGGTACTAGCTTATAAATTGAAGCATTGTAACCTAGGATTAAGGACCGGCCGTGAATTATCAAGATATAGTCATTAGGGTTGAGTCTGTAGCCATTCTCTAGGAGAGTTGGTGCAAGTGAACCACTTGGGTTGTGAGATGGTCACTTTGTTCTCCTCGAAGCTGTGAAGCAAGAGTAAGTATTATTTTTGGAGGAAACTTTTAAGCAACTCTAAGTTGATGTTCTTAGTCAAGAGTCTTGGCTGAGTTTAGAGGGAAGTGTGTCTTCCTGCTCGTCATAGAAGTGAGTCTTCTCATCATGAAAGTGTGTCTTCTTGTTTTTCGAAGTGTCTTAGAATTGTCCAATTATTGTCTGTGATTGATGAGGGATTGCAGAGGGCCTCATATCTAGGTGAGTCTTAGATAGAAATCTAGTGAGGGTAGTGATTCAGTGATTAGACTGTAAATTGGTATGTTTGTTGTAGGGTATATAAGTTGATACTACTATTAGTGGATTTGTCTTTGGCTTGGTATGCCCCCAGAATATGAAGGTTGTTCTGAAATGGGTTATCAATTCTGTGTGCACTTTACTTTTTCAGTATCTGTTTTTAACTATTTATTCCTTGCCATGTTGTTTGTAACATACCAGATATCTTGGCATCTTATAGGACATCTTACAGACCAGATGTGTGGTGACCCTGTTTTGAAGATGTCAGGTGAGCAGCCTTGGTGGTGAGCTACTATGAGGTTTGATTTAGTTTCAAACTTATGTTGTGCCTGAAGTTTGGTTGAGGAGTTTTTTGTTTATTCTGCTGCATCTGGTGGAAAACTCATGGTGGTTGTGTGTGCTGTCTCTCTGAAGGTGTATCATATGGTGTTCTGATACATGGAGGATAGTCTCGACCAACTTATTAAAGTTTCCAAAGATACTTGAGGATTGTCTCAAGTCCACTTATAAAGGCACTTATGAATAAGTTCGTTGATAGGAGATCTGAAGGAAGTAGTTTATTTTTCTGCTCTTCTCTGAAAGGCCAACCACAAATCTTTGATGACGGGTCTCTTGGTTCATTCCTTGGATGAAGTTCTGCATGATGTTGGAACATCTCATCAGCAGATTATGAAGAACTTTGTTGATGAAAGGAATTGTGTAGTAGATGCTTTGGGGGCTAAACAAATGTGTGTTGATCACATATGTTTGGAACCTACTCCTGATCTAGAAGATGAGGCATCTGTGTCTAAGAAGTTTCGATGCTAGAAAATTTCCTTAGATAAATATGTTGATCAGGACACGAGCAACATATTATTTACTTATTGGGTTAGTTTATTTCTGATCCAAGAAAGTAGGAGTGCAGAAGCTGAGCATGTTGTTCTATTCGAAGACTTGTTAAAAGACATCTCAACAAGATTCTTCATGAAGTTCATTCCTAATGTCGAGGAAATTATATCTGACGTCTTTAGGTTCTTTTGGCCAAAGGAACCAAAATTCAGAGGAATGGACTTAAGGCAGCAGTTATCCGAGTTTCTAGGTTGATGGTTATTCTTACAAACAAGATAGAGGTTGTTTACTCAAACTTGAAATAATTGTTAAGTCTATAAGAGCATGAAAGTCTTGATCTATTAAGAGAAGAACAATTATCCAAGGAAGGATAAAAAATGGAGGTTTATCAACCTAAGCTCAGTGGTTGATTGGTGTCTGCGCTTTTAAAGTATCATTCAATCTGTTGGAGTGAGTCTTTAGTTATTTACTTGAGTAAGGGGAGTTGATCATGCCTCATTGGAGCAAGGTATGTATACTCAAGGGAGGTCCCTCTCAAGTTCAGAGTCCAACTATATGGTGTCTTCACATATTGGAACATTTGTTTATACACTAGGGCTGTAAGTGCATTAGTGAGCCTTGAAGAAGTAATGGTGCTTAGGGTATAGTGCTGGCCTTATCACCTGCTTGCTATTTTCTGCTCCAGATACCTGTTAGAGGGAATATCCTCTTTAGGTGCAGAAGATTGGCTCATACCACCTCAAAGTCAGACATGAGGTATGTACTTGTGTTTCAGAGGTGTGTATCATGCATGTCATTGCATGTGTTTGATGTCTGGTCATGAAGAATGATCAACTGCTGAAGAGTGATCTTGTATCCCCTGCAAGAGTTATGCATGGATTGCTATGGATGTTACCTCCAAAACCATAGTAGTTGTCGAATCCATGTGTGTGAGATTGTGTTGGAACATCATCTTAGTTATTTGGTCTTCATCCAATCCAGAAAAAAGCACTAGGTCAAACCACTGACGCATTCTGGAGTTGTTTGTGATGAAGATGGATGTCATGATTGATGTCATCATGAAGAGTCAACCCGTGCTACAGGTATGCAGAAGAAGATAATTAGACAAAATGTGATACATCGTGTGAGGAGGTGGTGCATGTGACTGGTGATGAATATTCTGACGGGAGTTGGGTGTTTGTCTATCCACTTAGAAGATTGTGCATAAGACCAATGGTGAAAACCTTAATGGGAGATTGGGTATTTATTTGAGGAGTTATGCAATTCTGCAGTCTGAACATTTTTGTTCAAAAAATGTGTAGAGAAGTTATTTTTCTCTATGTGGCCATTTGAAGTAGCTTGGGCAAGATAACTATTAACTATTGAGATTTTATTTCTCTCAGTGGTGGTCTATGGGTGACAACCTGATTCAGCTTCTGAAGTTGATGTCCTAGATGATATTGTAACATCATGCTTATTGGTGGTTGTCAAACAAGTTCATCACAGTATTCGAAAGTGGCATTTCTGAGTATGACAGAAGCATGATTTGAAGCTTCTGGACCTATCCACAAGGTTATATGGTGAAGGCATGATTCCTGAAGACAACAATTGTTAGGAGAAATATATCAGATGGAGGATCTAATCAGAATGTCTTTTAAGGAAGTAGTTTCTTACACTACAAGTGACAGAGAGCGATAATTTGGATCTTGTACAACAAAGAAGCTAAGAGAAATTATTCTGGAATATGTAAGAAGTTCCTATTCAAATATGTCCTTGTTTATATGGACAACTCAGGGTACTTGAGATTATTCTCAAGAAGCTGATATATCTGGATATGTGAAAGTCAGGATTGACTTTGCAATATGTGAAGTGCTCAGCTGGTGTGTCCAACTAGGAGTATGTAGTGGTAACCATCCACTATGATAAGATGAAGTCCCTTATGTGTCTTCATCTGGTGCTCAAGTATTCATCTTTAGCTGGAGCATTGTCTATCCATGACAGGGGGAGTAAAGTACTTGTCCATGTATTATGGCTGCAATGGTGCAGTTGTAGGCCTCTTATGAGGTTGTGGTGTCAGAAAATATGTCGTGACATGTAGCTACTAGAGGTAGTTACTTATGTGCTTGACATGGCATATATGGTTAAATCATGTGAAGATGATTGGTTTAATCATG